CCCCAAAACCCCAAAACCCCAAAACCCCAAAACCCCTTTTTTAGGGAAGAATATTGATTTTATAATAAATAATGTAAGTTGTTTATAAGAGATGTCAAGAGGACCTCTTAGTTTAACCCTTAAGCAATGTACTCACCATTGGATATAGATGGCACTTAACCCTCCACAGATGGCAGACGGCGAGCCAGTCAGAGTTGCTGGTGAATACTTCATGCTTAAAAGAAAAGGAATCGAATTTGAATGTAAAGTTAAGGGTGAAGGAAAGTTTAAAGGAGTAGGATACGTAAGAGATTCTGTATAATACTTTAGCTTGTCCTAACAACGTGCAGATTGGTACTGATTAACACTAAGTCTAAATCAAAGTTTAATGCCTTCGATTTGCCACTTGCTCACATTTTCTCAGAAAGCTTTAAACAACCAATTTTTGGAGCAAACTATGAAAAAGGGATGTGAAAACCTCTATTCGGTTGCTTTCAGTCTGATATTGAGTGGAAAATATGGTTCATGGAAGGAGGATGAATGGCCTTTTTGAAAACATTAAAGAAGTGTTTGAAAGAAGTTAGAAATACTGATGGTTTTGCTGAAGGCTTAGCAGAGTATGCTCAATCTCAGACCTTTATGACTGATTTCGCTTATCTTGATGCAACTGATATTAGTACAGTGTACGTAACTCAACCTATCATTCCTGGCAGTGCTCCTGCATATAGTGGAGCCCCAGCACCTTCACCAGCTCCATCATCTGATTATGCACCTGCTCCATCATCTGGTTATGCACCTGCTCCAAGTTATGCTCCGGTTGCGGCTCCTGCACCAACTCCAGCATACCCTTCCTATGCTCCTACTGGAGTCCCTGTAGATCCACCAGCTGCAATGGGAGTCCCTGTAGGTCACTCCCTACCCTCGGTAGGTTCATCTGCACCTGCTCCAACCGGTTACCCATCCCCTGCACCACCTCCAGGAGGTGTTCCCTCCTATATGGAAGAGCCCATGTACGCTCCAGTTTCTTCTCCAGCCCCAGCACCTGCTCCTGCTCCAGCGCCAGGGCATTATTATAATTACCAATAGTTAACTCTTTTTAATCCTTATTCAATTCCATCTACCAAAAACGGGGTTTTGGGGTTTTGGGGTTTTGGGGTTTTGGGGTTTTGGGG